AGCTGGCTCTGTATGCAACAGAAATCAATAACTACATATTAGGAATACTTCCAAAAGCATTTATGGTGGTACTGAAACTCAGGAAGGTATTGGGGAAGCTTTACTTCATTATATCTGGAACAAATATTGAAATAAGTTTATTCTTACTTCAGCTGTCATTATTTGAGGTTTGCATGGCAGTGAAAATGTGGAGTGTTATCTCCTGGAACAGAGATTATATAGTCCTCTGAAATGATGGTAAGCACCTACTTGACTGCATGGAATCACAACCCAAACGATCACAGTGTGCTTTATAACATTATTTGAAGCTAAAGCTTCACTGTTCCCAATTTGTATAATGTTCATGTCTCTGTGTCTTATGAATTATGATGCCAATATGGTGTACAACCGCATACCACCAGGAAAGCACTGCTCAGCACCAAGGACTATTTTCTTGTAAATGTTGGTCACTATTTTTAGGTGTTTTTGCAACTAAGAATTGCAATTATGTGCCTATTAGTGTCACCATGTCTGTCTGCTCACATATAATAAAAGCTGAATGAATTTTCACAAAATCTGAAATTGGGGAGTTTTACTTGGTGTACATTGGACAACAATAATTGGCATTTAAATGGACAGCCACAAAAGTCCTTGCATGTAGGAGTAAATGGATGGGAAATTCCCACCTAGGAAATTCCCCAGCCATTCACAAAAGTATAAGCCAAATTCTGACAAGTGTGCCAGAAGATGTAGTATGAAGAACTGATTACTCAGCTACAGTCTGCAGGGTTGTGAACACAACTAAGGAAATAAGTTTCCCTGATATCCCAGACACTAATAGTCGGTGGAAGAAGACTGGATCCTGTAACCATGGCTCTTGTAAATATGACTTATTTCCAGTACTAATTAACCCTTTGAACCCTTGCCAGAACCAAGGCATTATAATGCAGAAAATATACGCTACATGGCAGACTTGTGATGTGCTAAAAATAGTTAATCCTTATTATTAAACTTCCTCAGACATGCAGCCTATGAACAGTGGTGATGAAGGGAAAACTTGTTTGTGCTAGCCATCATGTGTACAGAATTTGATAAATGCCATAGCGATCATTTGAAGGTCTAATCAGTAACTACTCTCCAGAAATTAAAATATTTTAACTTGTGTATATTAATTTAGTATGTGCTGATTTCTGAAATTGCTTTTGTACTGTTGTAGTTAAATAAATGTGACAGAGTGATAAAGATGGTAACTTCAGATGACTTTAAAGTACCATTGTTCGTTAGTTCACATGTTTCTTGTGACCATGTGCAGGTTTGAAATTTCTGTTTCTTCCAACTTTGTTTTCATATGATTTCTCAAGTTTGTCATGCCAAATGCAGCCGTGTTTCGATTTTTTTATACACTGTCATGAGGTGCTATTCCAAATTCACTTTCATATGTTTAAGTCCTTCACAAAGTCAAACACATGCACCCATGAATCAGCAAAATATCAGCTTACTTTCAAACCAGCATGCCCTGAGTCCAAAATTCGGTTTCAGCGGTGAGCCATCGGCAAGACCTGGAACAAACTCCACAGTTGCTGTGATCACAGATAACATGCCTGATGTTCCCCATGCATAAGCGGAGTACAATATAAACTTCTTGTGATCACGTTCTAGTGCACTTCCTTGAGGAGGATGCAGGCCACTAGAAAAAACAGGAGGAAAAAAACCATTAGTGTTCTGATGACTTTATAATTACAAGCTGGTCTCCTGCTCTTCATATTAAAGTTGGCAGAACTTTCGGAATGTCCCTTGCTTGAATCAAGGACTGGTTTTCCTGAATATTAAATACTGAGGGTATGAATTTATTCAGGAAATTATGGGGGAAA